GAAGGCGGAATTCATCTGACCGCTCCTCTGTCAGTGATTGCTATCTTTTTTCTTTTCTTGCGGCCCCCTAACTGGGTAGCATTTCTTTTCTTGCCGCCTGCTTCTGGATCAGGCGCATCCTCCTTGACAACGTCAAGATCTGCTTTTTCGCCACTTGACCCAGCGGCCACGACAGTGGGTTTGATATCCGAGAGGTAGCACTCTCGGGCCATCTTCTGATCTCCCCTTAGGAAGCCGACTGTTCCATCATCCTTCTCAAATTTGAACAACTTAAGAGATGGGATAATGACAACTTTTGAATTATTTAGGGTAGGTCGTCCCAGAATCATGTTATAGGCCGAGAGTTCCTCAACTACCAGGAACCGGACCACCATGTGGAGACCCTCCCCATTTTCACCCAGGCGGATGGGTAAATCCACTTGCCCAACAGGGTGGACGACACTTGCTACTGATAAGGTCGGAGGAACTACTGGTATCTATGAGGATTTGGCCAACTCTTTGGTTGGCCACTTTGCATTCAATAACAATGGGGTCGTCATGCGACCCCCTAACCCCTCCTAAATCTTCTTATGTCATGACAATTTCAGGGAATGAATTTTTGGAGGGCCGTTCTTGGTGAACGGAATTGACATCTAGCCGCCTGATGTTGTCTTTGTTGCCCCTGATAGTGGGGCCGCCTCCTGAGAAGCCGCCTGCAATGGTGTAGACGACTACATCATCTGTATCAGAACTGTCGGCCTGTTTGTTCTTTTTGGCCGACTTCTTATTCTTTGAGGAAGTATTCCCTTTAGACTTCTTGACATAGGAGTCAAGGTCGCCTTGTTTGGCCAGGCGGTCTAGGTATCGCATGAGACTGATGCATTCATTGGTTTCATGACCAACATCTTCATGATAATTGCAGAACTTATCTTAGTTCCGGTTGCTCGTAGAACCCTTCATGGGGGCCGGCTTCTCAATTGAGATCCGTCCCTTGATTTCTTTGAGGATAGCTTGGCTATCCTTGTTGAACGCATACTTTGGAGAGTACGGTTTGAACTCTTTTTTCTTCTTCTGGGCCGGCTGTTTAGAGGAATCGGCCGCCTAGACCTCTTTTCTCTTCTTATCATCTTTATTGGCCGACTGCTTTGGTTGGCCTTCTTTTTTGTCGGACCTCCTTCCGTCCGACTATTTAACCAGTACTACAGAGATCAGTCGCCTGTATATAGGCTTCTGCTTCGATCAAGGCTTCTTGAAGAGTCGCAACCCTCTTTCGAACCAGGTCAAACTTGAAGGTCGACCCGTCCTTGAGACCTCTGAAAAAGTCAGTATAGGCCATCTCATCCGATAGCCCTTGAATCTGTATCCTCATCAGGTTGAACCGCCTGATGTAAGAACGAAGCCCCTCCTTCCCGCCCTGCTGAATCGTCCCTAAATCAAGAGTCGTCTTCTTTGCAGGTATGTTTATGGCAAAATTGGAGGTGAATAAGTAAGCAAGCGTCCTGAAATTGTTCACACAACCAGTCGGCAGGTTGCCGAACCATTGCTGTGCGATTCCTTTGAGAGTCGTTGGGAAACACTTGCACCAGGTGGGATCATCCAACCCTTGGAGATACATTAGGTTGGTGAACGCCATCAAATGATCTTCAGGGTTAGTAGTGCCGTCATAGGCGCCTACTAACACATTTTTAACTTTGGCCGGCTGAGCGGCTTTAGTAATTTCCTTGGAGAAAGCAGACGGTTGTTCTCCAAGTCTTGCAACCGTAGTTGCCAGTCCAAAGGCTGGACATTTTTTGCCGCCTGTCCTCCAAACAGAGGCGGCTGCAAAAAATATTGTTGCGGTACAAATGGTAAGTTTGGTACCGCCTGGTCGTTATGAAATACAGACCGACGGGAGGTACCGTCTGTCTCACTCTCATGATTTGACTGTGTATACCTCATAGAGGTATTGTGAAAACTATCTTGGAATTCTGAAGTGGAGGCCGACTCTGACAGTTGGTCGTTCTTCTTCTACTCCAGTAGTAGCTGAGCGTCTGAGTATGTTTTCTTTGACCCGTCCGTCTGTATATGACGAACAGGCTTCCTCTTCCCTGGCGTGGGAAAACGGTACTTTGTGAAATCAAGCACAGGCGGCTCCTACTTCCTAGAGTTAGGATGAGGGGTCGCCTCTCGTCCTTGAACAGGCTTCCTTCTTCCTGACTGGGAAGGTTTTTAGCCGACTGCTCCTTAGAGAGAGCAGGCGTCTTCTTATTGATCAACTCTTGGATCTCCCTCTTGAACCCTCTCATGAAGGTCATGAGTTCGTTTCTTGTAATGGGAGCAGACCCTTCTGGCGCCTGTTGCTGATCAGGCGGTGTGCCGACTGGATTACTGAGTCTAACTTGGAGATCTACCCGTTCTCTTCTTTCGGTGTGACTGGTACGTCCGGCCCTTAGGGTCCCGTCTGACGCTGTGTGCGCTTCAACTTCAACCTCATCTTCGGTATCATGATCTGAGTGAACTTGAGGGTCGTCCAGGGGACGCCTCTCTTCTGGAGTCGGTACGAGTGTTGATGCCATCTCAAAAGTACTCTCCCCACAGACGGCGCCAAAATGTTTCGGGGTTTTCTGATGTCCTGCGGGAGAGTTACAATTCCGAGACTGGAACCGGACGCCTGTACCTGCAAAACAAACGGAGACTCCGAGTGATTGGAGTTCCGCCTCTAACGGTCAAGTTAGTACTTGTTTATGGAGTAATTAATGCAGAAAAAGGTAATGAGTCTCTCTAGGTGAGAGTGTTTAATGTATGTAATCCCCTTTAATGAGGATTAATGAGCATATTTATATGCCTTGGGATGCGTGCTAATTCCTAGGTTTAGGTTAAACCTAGGGCTGACTGGGCCTTCCACAAGAATTGGGCCTTGGTGGCCGATTATCCCATGTGTCATGGGGAGGACACGTGTCGTGTCGTTATTGGTCCATGATGGACGGATCACCACTTGACATGTGGCAAGCTCCTATTGGCCCATGTGAAGGACACGTGGCGAAACCTGATTGGTCCACTTGTCAGATGGTGATTGGTGGGAAAAATCCCCTAATCAGCTGTCTCGTGGCCTGGCTGCGAGACCGGCTTTATTTATTAGTGATATGATATTAGATTAGATTAGATTAGATTATTTTCAAAATCTCATAATATATATGTATATATATATATGTATTTATATATATATATATATATGTATGTATATATATATATATATATATATATATATGTATATATATGTATATATATATATGTATATATATATATGTATATATATATATGTATATATATATATGTATATATATATATGTATATATATATATGTATATATATATATGTATATATATATATGTATATATATATATATATATATATATATATATATATATATATATATATATATATATATATATATATATATATATATATATATATATATATATATATATATATATATATATATATATAAAGGGGAGTTTTTTCTCCAAGATTTTAGAGCGCCACGTAGAATTTTAATTTTTAAAAAATTATTAGAGCGCCACATTGAATTAGTATTTTTAAAACGCTACAATAGGATTATGCCACATAAGATAAGTTTTTTTAAAGCGCTACGTAGGATTTTAATAAAAAAAAGCGCCACGTAGGATTAATATGTTTAAAAATCTATAATACGATTATGCCATGTAAGATAATTTTTTTTTTAAAATGCTATGTAGGATTATAATAATAAATTAAAAATTATTAGAGCAACGCATAAGATTATTATTTTTAAAAAATTATCATGAATAAAATTAAATAATTTATTTGGGTGATAATGGAACCATTATGATAAAATTTTACAAAAATTAAATAAAGGAGAGTTTTTTAAGATATTTTAGAGCAGTACATAGAAAAATTTATATTTTAGCCAATGAAAACAAAAAAGAATTGCAATTTATTTTAGACCTAAAATTTTATAGTAATTATATTAATAAAATCAGCACATTTTCCGTGTGGCTGACCATATCGTATGGCCGGCTACGATATAACAAAACACTGATCGGGTAACCCCTGACTGTCCGAGTAACCCCTGATCGATCGAGTAACCCTTGACCAACCGAGTAACCCCTGACCAAATAATCCTGATCATATGATGTGACCAGCCACTGCACATATGATACTTTGTGAAATAAAATAAAAAATTCAAGTAGTAAATAAGCGAATATCACAAAGTTAAGGAGATAAATATATATTTAGTAGAATATTTTATTTGATAAATACAAACAAATCGTGCATCGCACGGGCTTCATCCAGTATAAGTTATAACTATCTTGTTTATTACTCCAAGACTCTCTCTATATAAAGAGGGTCTAATGAGGCTCAGATGGAGGAAGTCATAAATACTCCATCTTCTCCCTACTACCAAGCATTATTGTAGGCATATAGTATGAAATAAGCTGACACGGCCTCATAGTATAAATATCAAAATCATAGGCCTTTGAAAAGAGGAATCAAAGAGATCTATCTACAAGAGTTCTAACTCACAAATTAAATCATAAATGAAATAATTGTTTCCCTATAATTTCTATCTATTTATTTAAATATTGCATGTTTGCACTTTTATGGTTTACAGACATAGGATGATGTCGGTAGCAGTAGAGGTTTTTCTTAGACGGAGCAATCGAAGTTGAAATTTATGGCAAATTACAAAAAGGGACTCATACATATAGTAGTTAAATGAAGTCATACTTTGATGTATATCCCTAAATTATAAAACAATTAAAATTAAAAAAAAAAAAACCAGACAAATAATTTGATAGGTGGTTGGTTGGTTGTCCGCGATATAATTCGGATATACTAACATTTGTGTGTTGAATCTTTGGATATGTTCATGAAAAGACGAAAAGTAATAGTCAATAATTATGTATACTTACTGTATGTATTAATTACTTCCAAATTCATCATAATTAATGTTTAGACCATTATATAGTTGGGAGCTTAATGCTAGATAAGAGCAAAAGAAACATGGAGAAAGAAGCACCAAAAAGGGTTAACTTAGGAAAATCAATCATAGTGCCGAGCGTACAAGAGCTAGCCAAGGAGTCCATCACCAATATCCCTTCAAGATATGAGATAGAGAACGGCGACCAGCCGGATCGTCCGATTAACCCTTCATTGCCGTTATCGATTCCGGTGATTGATCTTCAAAGACTGCTCCATGGCGATTTTAAGAACCATGAAGAACTAGACAAACTTCACTTGGCTTGTAAAGAGTGGGGGTTTTTCCAGGTACTAATTCGTTAACATAAAATATTTATCATGTTTTTTGCCAACTTACGTTTTATTAGTAAGTTATGTAGTATTATTATTTTAGGATGGTTTTTTTAATAACTAGCACATGCAAAATTATAAAACAATAAAAACGTACCGTTAGAATTCGAACACTTCATTATTGAGATAATAATTTTATCCATTCATTTATTTCATTTTTTTTCTTATAAAAATCTTCCCTCCGTTATTTTTTTAATGCACCACTTAACTGATAGTCTAGCACGGACTTTTAGGTGGCCTGATTGAGTTGATTCTATTAAAAAACCGTGTATGTGTTGTTTGTTGAATAATTAAAAACTATAGAGTATAAAAAATAAATAATGGCCTATTATTATACATTTTTTTAAGATTGCTGCACAAAAAATAAAATAGAGGGAGTATATTTTTTCGCATGCAGTTCATTTTATTTGTCAAAAGTTCCAATCCAATATTACTTGTCATTTGACATGTCGTATCCAAAATTACTCCAGTGATGGTAAAAACAAAGAAAATCCCCACCCAAGAACTAAAAATAGTAAGAATTATACATCCCTAATCAAACGGTCAGAAGTGAAATCTCTATCAATTACTTCAAGTTTAAAAGAATATGTTAGGCCGTATTTATTTCACCTTAAAAACATAATATTCAGTAAAAAAACAAAAATTTCAATTCAGCAAAAGTAATTTCATTTCAGTAAAAATAAGTTTACATCAATAACATTAATTTTATATCAGTAATATTCAGTACTTCGTAACTTTAAAGAAGAATTATAATAGAGAATCACTAAAAATAATTTCAGTTCAGCAAAAAGAATTTCAGTTTACTAAAATTAATTTCAGTTCAGTTGAAATAATTTAATTTAAGCAAAAATAATTTCAGTTCAGTAAAAACAATTCTAGTTAAGCAAATATAAGGTGAAGTGAACGAGGCCTTAGTGATAAAAAGAGTCAAACAAATAATAATTTATCAACAAGTAGTAATAAAAAACTATAAAAATAAAAATTGTGTCACAAAACAAAAAGATTTGATTAGATGGTAAAAAGTATAGTATCATCGAACCTGGATTGGAAGATCATACTATTAGCTTGACAATTTAATTAGCTGAATAATTTCAATTTGTTTATTAGGTAGTAAACCACGAAGTTAGCGCGTCATTTTTGGAAACATTCAAGATAGAAGTAACCAATTTTTTAAAGCTTCCAATGGAGGAAAAGAAGAAACTATGGCAAGAAGAAGACAATCAAGAAGGATTTGGGCAGTTGTTTGTGGTTTCGGAAGACCAAAAACTTGAATGGTGTGATATGTTCTTCTTAATTACACTTCCTCCTGAATTGAGAAAGCCAGGACTTTACAATAAGTTGCCTCAAAATTTAAGGTTCCTCTTTAATTCTCTCTATAACATCTTTTTAATAGAGTTAACTAAAACTTACTATTCTCTTATTTTTAAACGACAAATTTTGTACAAGATGGCATGAAGAATGTATAATTAAACTTACTATTATCTTACTATTAACCATTTCTTGATTAACAAATTTTGTTTATCAAGTTTATAAACTTGTATTATTATTGACCGATGAAAGACTGTTAATAAAATGTGTGTGACAGGGTAACATTGGAATCTTACATAGCAGCAATAAAAGATTTAGCTCAAACTCTCCTAAACCAGATGGCTAAAGCATTAGGGATTGACGAAGGTGAAATGACAGAGTTGTTCAATGAAATGCATCAAACAATGAGGATGAACTACTACCCGCCATGTCCCGAGCCTAACAAGGCCATAGGGCTCAGACCTCACTCGGACGCAACCACCCTTGCCATCCTTCATCAGCTGAATGATACTGTAGGTCTCGAAATCAAGAAAGATGGCAATTGGGTGCCCGTTATGCCCCTTGAAAATGCTTTTGTTGTTAACATTGGAGACGCTTTGGAGGTATGCATATGATATACTATAATTGTTCGTTTGTTAAAGTTTGTTTTCAAAAACTATATCTTAATCGAGTATAAAACATATTTCTGAACTTTAATTAAAGGAATCCTGTGTGATAAGAAAGTCACTTATTCAGATATCATCCACCCGTCCTTGGCAGCATGGACCCTCTTCATACCTAGCGCTTAATTTAATATTCCACTTGAAAGTAGGGGGTGGATGAAATTTGAAACCGTGAACTTTGTATCACACTGGCTCTTAATACCACGTTAAAGTACCATCTCAATCAAAAGCTTAAGCTAATGGTTGAGGCCAAGAGTATGTTTCATACCCAATCACTTATTCATTATTTTATTTTCTGAATGCGTCCTCAAGTTGATCTTGGTTGATTGACAGATTTTAAGCAATGGAGTATATCGAAGTATTGAGCACAAAGCAACAGTGAACAGGATGAAAGAGAGGATATCAGTTGGCACATTTAATAGCCCTAACATTGATTCTGAAATAGGACCAGCTAAGAGTATTATTGGTCCTCTTAATCCTCCACTTTTCCGAACGCAACCATTGACACAATACTACATGGAATTCTTTGCCAGTAAGCTCAATGGAAAATCACATCTAGAAGTTATAAGATTACAATAATATGGGGATTTCAACATAGCTTAACAATTTGTTAAATAGTTGAAACTATACATACGTTGATGTGGTTCCAAGGAATTAATATCATCGTTATACTGTCTTTACTTACTCTTAATTTGTTGAGTTGTCTACTAATCACGAGGTACATAAATCCAAAAATTACGTGCAATTATTAGTCAAATTAGAGTTGTGTTAGAGAAAATAAAATGATAAAATATTATTTTCTAATCACAAACTTTCATATGTGGCTGGCCACAGTACACCGTGTGGCTAGCCACAATTTTTTTTTTTTTTTAATCCTACACCACAACTCCACCTCTCTACTACATTCTCAGCTCCTTGCTACTCCCTCTTTTCTATCCCAAATTCAACAGTTACGTCAAAATCCTTTAACTGGATCAATTACGAATTGCAAATTTGATTGATGATTCCAATTCAATTTCCATGGAAGATGAAATTAGCAAGAAACTGTGTAACAATGGTGATACTATTGATTCTGTTAATGGTGGAGCTTCCATCAAATGAGTCAGTGCACAAAGCCTTCAAAAGAGACCCTGGAAGCCCTTGCTTACTGGCACCATGGCACTTTCCACGATGTCAAAGATAATGTTCTATCTGATGTTCGTCGTATACTTCACTTTCGCGCTGAGGTGATTTTTCTAGGGTTTATCCTTTGAATTTTCATATATTTTATTGAATTGAGAATTTATTATATTGATTTTGGCTGTTGTTTTAGCTGATTTGGGTTTGATTGCATGATGAATTTTGGATTTAGAGCTTTGTTGGGTTTCTGGGTTGGTTTGGTGTGGTGGGAGGTGGGGTTTCTTCTTCGGCGTCATTAGAGTAGCTTCAAATTAAAGGATATACTTTGAAGAAGAAGAAGATGAAGTAAAGGGGTTACTCGGTCAGTAGGGGTTATTACTTAGCTGGTCGGGGGTTATTCGGTCGGTGAGGGTTCACTTGGTCCGGGGTTACTAGGTCGGTTAGGGATTGTCGGTCAGGGGTTACTAGGTCGGTTAAGGGTTACTAGGTCGGTCAGGAATTACTTAGTCAGGGGTTACTCGCGATCAGTCGATCGGTCAGGGGTTACTAGGTCGGTCAAGGGTTACTCAGTCAAGGGTTACTTGGTCAGGGGTTACTTGGTCAAGGGTTACTTGTGTGTTAGCTGGTGTAGACACCTGATTGTGTCTCCCCAAAAACCAAACCCAGTGATGAGTACCTTTCACGTCTTTATTTATCGAGTTAGGTGAAGAATTGAAGAGTCTCGTGAACTTCCCTTTAGCCTTAACCGTTTCTAACCTTTCCTTAAATGCTTTAAATCAAAATCATTTATTTCGTGCTTTTAAACCCAAAATCAGTCATTTTGTGTCTTTGAACATCATTCATTTCGTGTCCTTTTTATAAAATCTTACAAACTAGTTTATTTAGGTAATCCTAGTTCAATTATTGCTTAGTTGGATGGGGTTTGAAAATTCATTTCCAACGATATATTATAAGCCCAAATATGAATTATAATGAAGAAGTTATGGTCAAAATACTAAATCGAGCCCAAATCGAGCCTTACCTACGACCCAATGACCGAGTGAAGGGTCCATTAACCTTAACGTCATTCCTAAGCCAATTAGGATTTATTATGAGCTTCTAGAATCCTATAGAAAGTTATTTTCAATCCTAAATCCCTTAGGATTTGTTATTAGCTTCTGTAATCCTCAGGAAGGTTCTAATTTATCCTGTTTTTGAAAAGATAAACATTTAACAATTTTACATCGGATAAAATACTTGTTTTTCAATGATTTTAATTATGAGAAAATTAGAATACATACGAATATTCGATTAACCCAATTTGACTGGAGGTCAGATTCCTACGGATTCTATCTTCAAAAAATATCGCTCAGCGATAGAAATATCACGTCGCAATAAACCTATCACACTGTGATAGAAATATCGCGCTGCGATAGAATTATTGCGTCGCAATAGCGCCTGTTTGACTCCGAGTTGGATTCTGACTCTTTTTTTATCCTTCGACCCTCTTTTTTCTTTATAAATAGAGCTCATTTCACGCCGTTTTCAATCATCAACAAGCTTGATCACCAACAATCATCATCTAATCCTTTCTCTAAGCTAAAGCTTTTTCCTCTCTCTTATTTCTTGATTTCTAGCCTTAGCCTAAGCACGTCCTTATATATCCTTGATACTTTTCCCAAACAAACACCATACCTCCTTCATGAGCCTTGAATACTCCAAGCCAATCTCGAAGTTTCCTTTGACCTCGATGTGAAAGGTTGATAGTTCTGAGGGTTTGGTCCCAAATCTATATTTTAATTCTTATTTGATTTATTTATTAATCTTTCTTGAAGTTACTAACGTGTGTATTGTTTTGATAGAAAGAGATACGAGGCATCAAAGTGAGTAATTTGATCTCCCTAATATTATTAGTTTGATATAGAAATCATGATAGAATGCTTTTATGATTTATAGTATCATGTTAGGATGTTTATTTCGATTCCTAGTATCATGTTTAGGGTGTTAATTAATATTTCTACTATCATGTTCCTAGTATCATGTTTAGGCTAAACCTTTAATCTTTTTTATTAGTGACATGCTAGGGTTTGTTATTAATTCATTTGATATCATGCCTAGGATCTTGCTATTAATCATGTTTTGATTATGATGATAATTGTTGTGTCAGTTAATCATATGTTGCTTGATTATTCATGATTTATTGTTATTGCTTGATCACGCCCTTTATTGCAGGTTTAAAGGGAATTTGTACTTGAAATCACGCCTAATAAGATAATTAATAATTTGATTTAGGCTAATATGATTTTAATTCAAGAGATCACCACTAATAGATTTGATTGTGCATTAATAATCAACCAACGTAGATTAAAGAGGTTTAGGGCTAATTTGTTGTATGTATGTTGATCGAAAAACGCACATGAATATCATAAGAATTAAGTAGAAGATGATTTAGAGCGGGTTAAATCTCTTTTAGGTTGGATTCGTACCATCATCCCCGAATATCCAGTCATGGTTTCGGACCACTATAGAGTTAGCGATCTCCGTGATCGTGAATGGGGTGTAACCTTCAGACCCGTGAACGGTTTTCAAGTTCCTAAAACTTGTTGGCGACTCTTTTATCTCTAGCTTTCTTCCCTTTGGACGCCACCATGCTTAAATGCATGATCACAGTGGGGCTCAAAGTTGATGTTTGAAATATTACCTACAGTTTTTACTCCGCTGGGGAGGATTTCTAATTTTGATTCCTAAAATTTATTTTGGCAATTGACTTTAGAATGAGTGGATGAGACTTGAAAGATTCTAGATATTCATGTGCGTAATTTTGATTAACATTGTGGCATAAGCATAAAAAGGTGTGCATTGGAAAGACCATACGAAATGCGTCAAAAGCATAGGATTTTTACACGTAGGGAAAAGTCGGAAATATCTTTCAAAACTAGAATCGAAAAGATACTACGAAAATCTGTAGAACACAGAAAACTGCCGCGAAGCACGGGAACTTTCGCGAGACAGCAGTGTCTATCTCCATGCGATAGCTTTATTGCGATGCGATATTGTTATCGCTGCGCAATAGACCCTGTTTTCTTGGGGCGAGTTCTTTCGACATCGTGCCAGGAATTTTCCTTCTTGTTTTGACCGATTCTAGTACTATCTCGTCGATTCTACTTCCTGATTGAGTTTTTCCATCTTTTCTGAACCCATATGTTTTCTACATATGGTCTTAGCCCCTGGGAATTCACACTCCATCTACCCAATCGAACGCTCCGTGCAACGACGGGTACATCCGAGTCTGTGAATTCACCAAACCATGGAAGCAAGTCTAACTTGCGGGGTCCCATCCATACGTGCCAACCCTTCCAAAGGTAAGGCTTCCGCGCGATGCATCCAGACTCATAACCATGGACCCTCTCTAACTACCATAATCCTTGAACTTTAGAGAACTAGAGCCATGGTTAGGTTGCAAACTCATTGCATCCTGTTGTGACTATTTGACTACTTGTGCATTCCTTACTTGTGCATATCTTACTTGTGATAAACTAACCTCTTGTGTTGACTTGTTTTTTGTAAATAAAGTCTTAATTAACCAACCAATGACTAAGGACTTTGCTTAATTAATTGGTTAATCAATTTGAATTTATACATTTTAAACATACTAACCAAGGAATTGTTTCTCTTATTTAAACCTCTTCTTTGTTTATTAAGTCAAGTCATAGTTTTTATTTTTATTTTTTTTTAATAATATTTTGAGTCAACCCCAATTTTTATTCCCGTATCCTGCACAAGCGTCAACTTGTTTTGGTCATAGCCGGAGTTATAGAATGAGTTACAAGTCGTATAACCTATGGAACTGTAGCCCTGAGTTTTATCTTTCATTTGGCGTTGGTTTCGTCCCAATCAAAGTCACATATCAAAAGTTATGATTGAAATTTTATAGCCTGTCCAAGTTTAGGAGTTCTTTTTAGCGTCCAACCTTTTTTTTTATTTCTCTTCGTGTCAAGCTAGTCTTAGAAAATCTTCTACTTCTCGTAGTCCTTTAATCCGTGTCAACTTATATAAAATAGGATTGTAGATTTTTATTTTTTATTCCCATGAGTCCTAACTTTAACATGTGTTTTTTGTCTTTGATTGTGGTTTAATCTTATTAATGACTAACGTTTGTCAATGGACTGATTTCACCTAGTAAATAGCACAAACATTAAGATTGGACAAAATTAATCAAGTTAGTTTCTCTATATTTTAGTCTTTCGGCTATTTGGTCCTTGAGTCCTTCGTTTTTTTCACACCGTTCTCATGTCTAGTCACATGGTCATTACACGAGTCTTGAACATATCACTTTCACTCACAAGTCCTAGCACACACCTTGTACATACTTTTTTCACACCATGACCATGTCTTAAGTCCATACATGAGTTGTCCTTTCCGTCATTTGAGTTGAGGGTCTTTCCTATTCCCGGATTTTTTTCCATATCTTTCCACATTCACACACTTTCCAAATACACATATACCCTTCTACACATTTTCCTTCTACATCACATTTCCATACATTA